ATGAAGAGAAATAAAAGTAGATTAATTACTCCAAGTTTCAAAAGGTATACATACTGCTACCAAAATTGTAGTACTTGGATTCATATGCAAAAAGAACTGTGAATATAAAGTTTTAAGTCCCAAATTACTGAAATAAGATATTTTGATATCTCCTGCAAAATTATTACCTCCTTGAGAAAGTTCATCTTTAAAAACTGTATTAACAAAATTAGAAACATTCCTGTCAGTCCCCAGCACCAGTTTTATTTCAGTTGATAATTAATGCCACTAAAGTTTTTTTTTCCAATCACTCTTAAAATTTACTTGGTGTTTTATAACACTTTTGCAAGTCCATTACTTCAATAAAAGAAACTTTAGTTTTAGAGATTTATATTTATGCTTCGAGTATTCTACCTTAATAGGCTTGAATAACACAAAGAAAATATTTAAGTAATTTTATATCCTTGAAAATTATACAAACTTGACCTAGAATGAAAAAACAATGCACATGGACTGCAAAGAGTAAGTTTAAGAAAATAAAAATGCAAACATGCGTTTTAGCAGTCTCTCGAATTTATTAACCTAAAAGGTTTAATTTCCATTTTCCTGCATCAGCTTTATTTATAAAATGTCGTGCCCTATAAATACGCTGTTATTTTCTATAGTCAAGCACCTTCTTAACAAATCTTCTCATTAATATGTAAATTTAAAGTCAATCGGTCTTCTCCCTGACAGTCCCATGAATTCCTAGTGCACTGTATAATCGGCTTTGACTTTGCATCCACTATTTATCATCAAAGATGTCAGTTAGAAAAATTATAGAAAATGAACTGCAATTGATATGACTGCAATCTACTTTGTCAAAACTTAATTGTTCCTCAAATCATACATTTACATATAAACAGCCTAAATACTGATCTATAATGATGCAAATAAGCTAAATTAAAAATCTCTCTGCCTCTGAAGAAACCTGGCTGTATATGATGTATTCATTTAAGAACTTACTGACAAATGCATGTACATCAGCTCATCTTAAAAGTATTTCCACTAACTTTTAGTTCCTCAAAAAAACAATTCTGCTAGCTTTCAAGCACATAAACATAAACAAATGTTTTAGACAATTCAATGAGAAACACCTTTGTGAAAAGTAAATTTAATTATGGTTGTTAGCTAATGGCAATGTCTGAATACTATGGATTGGAAGCTTCAAAATTAGCTTTGACTGGAGCAGAATAAGCAAACACACAGAAATATATTAAAGTAGCAAAAAGATATGTTAATTTAAAAGTTACGGGGTTACAGAATATAAAGGGAAGAATGTTGATATAAGCATCAGGTTACTTACTCTGTTTATATATCTGGTTCCACCTTTTAAAAGCAGTATTACCTTAGGTGACTTATTTATAAAATGGATTTAATAATTTTCACTGCCCTATCTCACATAAAATACTACATAAGAAAGTACGGCACGCTATTAAATTGCTAAATACAAAATATTAACAGTATTATTTTTCACATTTTCTCTTAGCATTGAGAAGGAAACCTCTTAATTTTAATAAATTTTCTATTTTAGGCAGTTTTTTAATTTTATATAACAAATCAATATATTATTTTAGTGACACTTTTCTCGCTTGCAAATTCCTTCACTTTGAGATAAATGGCCCTTTATATATATATCATAAAGTGATGTTCACATAGCATTTTATGTAAATGATTTTTGTCTGTTAGGTAAAATGGGATGGGGGTACTAGAATGAACACCTGTCTAATGTGCTGATTTCATTTAAAAAAATAAAACAGTATTCAAGTATTGCCGTGACCGCTGTGGCTCAGTTGGGTGGGCATTGTCCCACAAAGTGAAAGGTCACAAGTTTGATCCCCAGTCAGAGCACATGCCTGGATTGTAGACTGGGTCCCAAGTCAGGGCAATGTTTTTCTCCCTATCTCCCACCTTTCTCCTATCTCTAAAATTAAACAAATAAAAAAATTTTAAGTATTCAAGTGTTGATGATAAAATGATAAAAAAGAATGGTAATGCCTTGGCTGGGTGGCTCAACTGGTTGGAGCGTCATCCCATTCTGTACATCAAAAGGTGACAGGTTCAATTCCCAGTCAGGGCACATACCTAGGTTGTGGGTTAGATCTCCAAATCTACTCCAGGCGCAGATTGGAGGCAACCAATTGATGTTTCTCATGTCCATGTTTTTCTTTTTGTCTCTCTCTCTCTCCCTTCCTCACTCTTCTAAAATCAATGAACATATCCTTGAGTAAGGACTCAAAAAATGTATTTTTAAAAAAGGATGGTAACAACTCAGCACTTACTCTGCTGGAGCACTGTTCCATTTTACCTTTCTATTCTATAATACTCTTGAACAGTACTTCACGGTGTGCTTCTTACAACATAAAAAGTGAAAAATGAAAACAGATATAAATGCAAAATACTTCTCAGTTTCTTCCAGGTATGGTCAAATGTTGCTTTATAATTCAGTTTGCCAACTTTCAAAGTTAAATGACCACATGTAGTCCTAAAGAGTTGGATACAACTTAAAGTTTAAGTCAAAAAGTCTTCAAGACTAAAAGTGACATGGCTGCTCGCTCGAAAGTTTCTCTGTAACGGAGAACCAGAACTAGCCACAGAGAAGTCTGAGATGGGGTGAAGGAAAGAGCAAGCGTGGGCATGATCCGAAGGATAATAATTAGATAACAATTTTAATAACTATTTAATAATTTAAATAATGTAACTAATTATTAAAATTTAATAATTTAAACCTTACTTTTATAAAATGTAGTTGTACTAAAAGCCTAACATCTCTGACAATCTCTTACTTTTAATACCACAGTAAAAGATGACCTTTCCAAATCATGCCCACTGGTAATAAACAGAACATATATGTATCCAATGAGACGCAAGTCTGTTATCTTGATTATTTTGGTGTCAACTGATATTGTTTTAAATTACATGTTATCCAAAGTAAAAATTAAACCCACTAGAACAACTGAAATTAAGTGGTTGCCAGTAAATGCACCTCAAGGGTCTACCGAGAAATTGTGAAAAGAAAGACATTTATTTCACCATGTGCTTGAATTGCTTCTATAATGTTTTAGCAATACATATATAATCACCCTGGCTGGTGTGGCTCAGAGGATTGGGTGCCAGCCTCAGAACAGAAAGGTCACCAGTTCAATTCCCAGTCAGGGTACATGTCTGGGTTGCAGGCCAGGTCCCCAGTTGGGGGTGTGAAAGGCAACCAAAAGATGTATCTCTGGCACATTGCTGTTTCTCCCCCTCTCTTTCTCCCTCCCTTCCCCTCTAAAAATAAATAAATAAAAATCTTTTTAAAAAAGATTTTACAAAAGAGAATACATATAATTATACGTAGTTAAACCTTTACAAATCTTCTATTTTAGTGAGATTTTTCCTTTTCTTTTAGCCAAGGAACCTTTCTCAAAGGAAATCATATGCAAAGCTGCACACAAGAGACAGGCGAAGGTGAAGCCTGCTCTGGAACGGCAGCAAGGGTCTTGCAAGCTGCAGAGTCTAGAACCCCACCCCCTGGATGTGCCAGGGGCAGTACTGCAGCATCCTGAGGGCAGAGGTGTACACTTGGAAACTGGTGGATCAGTCTATAAGCCACGTAATTTAAAATAAAGCCTACCTCAGATTGCAAATAAGTGACAAAGATGAGAAATTTAGCCCAATTCCAGTGTATCAGGACAATGACCAGAGCTCATCCCATGTTTGTAATAATTAAGTTCACAGAGTTAACATGTAAAAATAGAGTATGCATATAGTCCCACTTTTCCAAATTGTCTATCCAAAGTATAAATAAATATGAAAGTAGAGAACTGCATTTCTTTGTTTTGCAAATAGCTTTAAACATTAATTTTTATCTAAAATGAGTCTAAAATTCAAGTGACAGAAACACAGAAGAACAAACTACAAAGACAGCTTTAAAATTTGTTACATATTTTTAGAAGATAGAGTAAATAATGTATATATTTTAATTCCAATTTCTACATAATGACAAAGCAAAGGATCATTTGCATACGGCTACTAAAATAATTTGAGGGTAACAGGAGAGTACAAGAAAAAATTTCATTAAAGCCCCAGCCGAGTGGCTCAGCTGGCTGGAGCATCATCCCACGCCCAGAAGGTTGTGAGTACCATTCCCACCGAAGGCACATACCGAGGCTGCCGATTCGATCTCCAGTCGGGACATGTACGGGAAGCACCCAATCGATGCTTTTCTCTTACACGGATGCCTGCCTCTCTGTTTCTCTCCTTCCGTCTCTCTCCACCCTCACCCTTCCTCTCTCTCTAAAATCAAAATATATTCTCAGGCAGGGATTTTTAAAAATTAGAAAAATAAAAATAAAAGTGTTCTGTTAAATAATGACGAGGGCTAGGTAAGACAAAATTACCTATAACCTACACAACAGAAAAAAATCTGAATAGCATTCTGGAAAGGAACTAAAATCAAACAACTAGCTATCAGCAACAAAAATATCTTGTCAAAGTTACCATTTACATGAAAAGACCAAGATTTCTGAAGCAAATAGTCATAATGCTTAAACCAGCATAAGTGTCATCGGAAGTTTACTTCGCTCAATGATCAAGTTAAATTTATAAAACACAAGACTATACTTTCAGACTATAACAAACTATTTCTATAGTTCGTTATAAAACAAAAGCACAGATGATCAGTAAAATTGAATCAACTTAAGAGCCCATGTGACATAAGACTTTTAATGTATGAATAATTAAAATATACTTTGATTTTTAAGTAGAATAACCTAGAATTTTATACAGCATGCCATTGTAGGTATCAACCAATGCCAAAATAATTACCAATTATCCTTGCATTTTTATCATTTCCTGCTTTCCAAAAGAACATGAGAAAAATGAGATCTCCTTAAAGACAGTTTCTATGTTTTAGTACTCATAATTTTGTTGTACACATTTTTTAAAGTTCATCCATTTCCTTAGTATATTTTATACGTGGAAGATTATTCCACACTTACCTCTTTCCAAGGACTGACAAACTGTGTGCGAGCGTATCGCGTTAACACATGGATGATGACAACCTGTCCCCATTCTTCAACATCAACTAGTAAGTTACAGAGCTTGCGGTAATTCTTGTGAATCAGATCGATTCTATCCGGGCAGACTTCCTCAAAAGCCATCACAACACTGCCAGCTACTAGCTAGAAAGAAAAGAAATAGGACATTACAAAAAAGTTTTCCTGCCATCGAAGAGTCGATTCTGGCATTAAGGAGGTACAGTAAGTGTTATGATGACCAATATTTAAAGTATTTAGTCATTTAATTAATAAATGATGACAAGCACTTAAATAACAAGTTTTAAAGTGTCACTCCCTCAAAGAATAATTTTAAGAGTTGTAATGTGTCTACAAAGCTAATATTTTTCTGAAGTATTAGAAGTAGAAATTCTGGTAATTTTTTATGTTATCAGGTTACATTGTTATATGTGAATTAAACATATTCATTATGCATTTTTCATTTTTAAAGGTAACCTAAATTCTAAAGATTAATTATTCAGTGCATGACAATATTCAGAAAAAGAATCAAGACATTAACAAGAATGACATCATGTCCGTTTACAATGAGAATGACAGTAATTTCAAAATAAATTTATTTTAAAATGTGTGTGGAGAATTCACAAATGATTTTCAAACAAAAACACTTTAATATCTTATACATTTTAATCCACCTGTTTTTATCAATATAAAACTTTCTATTTACAAAGAAGGCACAGGCTAAAAACTTAGTACATTTTACTATTTTTGTAACAATATGTGTAAGTTCAGATAATATATTACCAACAAAAGGCAGCTTTCTCTAAGACCAATTAATGAACCACATTTGCTGTTTTTGGAAATCTCATGCTTTTGCAAAGAGGTGAAAACAAGATGTCTTTAAAGATACAAACTAAGCAAAATAAATAATATACAAATACTTCTATATATGTACCACTGATACGTGTGCAGTTAGCCAACAATATAAAATGCTTTTGAAAAAATAAATTAATATCATATTCTTTCTGAACACCAGGGATCTTCATTTTAGCATCTAAAATTTCCCCAATGACTTAAAATAAGCAATTAAATAGAAATACAACTTATTTGAAATGGTACTTTTTAAAAAACATTAGATACAATGATATTCATATTTTTAATGTTTGTCCCTTTACTTGGCTGACATTTAGTTTATTAATATGCAACCAACAATACAATTGAAAGAAAACAGCTCAGAATATAGACTTGCTATTATGCTAAACAAGTTTCCAGTCCTGTGGGGATTTCATGAATTACCAATCAGTATAAACGTGAAGCTGCATTTATTGACTCCAGCCCTGCCCATGTACTGGTGCCTGCTGGTCTCAGCATGAATGCACCTCAATTGAAAAAGCAAAGGATTGATTACTTGTGTGAACTAAATAAAAATGCATTATACATATAATGTTCTATTTGTTATTGATACAGAAAGTTAAGTTTGTGTTTTTAACTTTACATTTTGAGCTCTTCTGCATAAATCACTCCTTAAAAATTATATTCTATGATAACTGTATTTCAAAAAGAGAGAAATAGTATCATTTAAAAATCTCTTAACACAACTAAATTTATGGTATCAAACTACAGAATAACGTAGCAATTGTTAAAATATATATATATCTATACTTATATGCTTTATGTCAATCTTGTTATTAATATAAAATATATGTATCAGTTGGTAAAAGGTATTCAAGCACAAAAATAAATAATACCACTTAGAATAAAATAATCCATGGAAGTTAGTCTTTCAACAAAGCTTAAATCCAAGAACTATTATGTAAAATCAAGTTATTTTGCTTATGGCTAGAGATTCATATTTTTCAAATTGTTTAGTAGATACCAATTAAAAGTCATCGACCACGTGGTATTAAATTGATTTAACCAAGAGCCATGGATACAAAATAATTCTTAAGTACTAACAAAGAGCATAAAAAAAAAGAATTAAGTACAAATAAAGTTTAAGAAAACAGATAATTAGTAAGGATGTAAAAAAAAAAGTACCTCCACAAAATAAAACTGACTGTTTTAGGTATTTTGTTGTATTGGTTCAACAAACTCACCCTACACTAAAACACTACAAAAAGAATTGATAATTCTGGTCTGTTAAATGTTCAATATTCTATAAAACTCCCAGAATTAAAATTAAATGATCTACTGAGATTTTAAAACCAAAAATATTAGTTTCCCTAAAAAAGACAGTTAATTTCCATCTTACTGTGTCAACAGTAGCTTTTTATATAAGGAGAAAAATAAATCACTTCAACAAAACTAGCAATGAGCTCATCAAATTCAAATGCAGTTTTCCATTTATGTATTTTTTATATTAAAGCAATAAACATGGTTCATTTATCTTCCCCTGGTTGCAATGTTTTTCTGTGCTGTTGCTATGAACTTCAGCCATTAGCTGTGCTCCAAGGTAAACTACATGAACCATCAACAAAAGTGACACCCCATCTATGGAGTTCATATTTTCTCCAGATTATCTATGCTAGTTGACAAGCTGGTAATGAAAAAAATCACACTAAGCAAATGGTTCCGCTAATAACAATAAATTTTCTATAAAATTATGAAGGGTACAAAACGTTTCCTTGCATCTATTTTGTCATGAATTCTAATTAACGTTGCAAAAACCTGAGAGTGCTGGGTCATCACAAGAAGTGCATCAGGTTTGATTGATAATACAGTATAAGCTGGCCAATGCTGCCAAGATTTTCTTCTCTTAAATTAATAGCCATCCAACCTGCCCCAATCATACAGCTCAAATGATATTCCCCTTCTTATTTCAATTTTCTTGAGGCATGGAAAATGGGAAAGATCAGTCATTTATCTTCTAATAGCTGGATAATAGATCTATCACAACAAAACATCTGCACAAACTCAGAGGTGTGGTTTTTTTGCCCACGACAGTGAGGCTTTTTACTGACATTGAATCAATAACTTGTAAAATGGTGTCTTATCCCCACAGCTTAGTTATGAACTACCAATATATTCATTAAACATCATTTTGTAGCTAAATTAAGGAGAGGAAACTTTCACATAAAAAAATATGCAACTCAGTTTTTCGAGGCCACAGACCAAATTTTTCTTCCTAGGACTCAGTTTTCTATTAGAAAGTTAAATGCCATCAAAAGAATTTCTTTAAAATTAACCTAAATGAAAAAATAAATAAATCCCAGCCTGCTTTTGAGGTGTTCTAAATAAGAGACACTCCACTGCTATGTTTAAAATGCCCAACAAATATAGATGTTTTATACTTAAAAAAAAGTATAACAAATTTTAAAATAAATTTATAACAACAGTAGAAAAGGTTTGTAGTAAAAAATATGCAGTATATGTTAAGTGGAGAAATTAAGATGAAAATGGTGAATCTAGGAACATAAAATGAAGAAATTATATAAAGAAAACTTGTAACTACTGACTGGGGGTGGTAGAAAATAGACAAAGTATTACCTCTTAATTTCATTGATTATAGTTATATATTTTCTAGTATAGCTTTTAAAATTTACAGACATATTCAGATATTAGTTACCTTAAGTAACACTCAAGGGTTCTTCTAGTTACATCACCATAACTCTCTTCCTAAACCCGAAATGGTTTATTTTTAGAAAAGAACTAGTCATATGACAGATACAGGTCTTTCTCTAGTAAAAGGGAAAAGTCATTCTATTATCTTTTCATATGTTTACATTGTAACTTTCCTTAAAATGAGAATTACAGAGCTAGTTTACTTTGCGATATTAATTGTAAAAAAAATCTTTCTTTAGGCTAACACAAGCAATCAGGGATCGTATGTATCAAAATCAGTAGAGGTTAAATTTTAAAAGCATTTAAAATAAACATTTTTCAAATTCATATTTATCAGCAACCACAGCAATGTCATCATGATAATGGTCCCAAGAAGCTCCTGCTGATGACAACTACATTTCTTTTGAAAATGTGGAAGTAAGTAGGACCAGGTTCATTTAATTAGGAAGTTTTTAAATAAAAATAATTTAGAATTCTTATTGATTTTAAATGTCAATGCTGACATTATTAATTTGGGGGAAAGAAGAACTATAACTGTCTTCCTTCAATTAAGTATTATATTCAACAAGCAAAACTGGTAATAAAGACCATAAATATTTATATAGATATCAGAATATTTTTAACCTTTCTATAATATATTATAACTATACTAAGGGGAAAATATCAGAAAACATTCTGATAATAATTCTAATTTAAAATACTCAAAATAACTCCAATATAAATACTACTTGTACCTGAGTATTTACTATATTTACTACTTGTAAATAAATCGGAATGTTCCAACTCAAACCCAGAAAAACTAAAGATGTAAACCTATGTCCTATGCATAACTAAAACAAAGAGAATCTCTAAACTTCAAATTACATGAATGAAAAAAGTCAGTCCTCAATGCCAGAAACTTATTTTTCATGCTTTTTATCAGGAAACTTCACAAAAACCTATGAGTCTGATAAAACTGCCAAGAACAAAGCAGCCCAGAATTAGTGGTGGTCATAAGAGGGAACTAAAACCAACAGCAGAAAAAGAAAGAGAACACTAAGTGTGAAAATACTGCAAAAGATTACTGTAAATGAGAGCAAATTACTAAGAAGGAAATTCATTGGAGAAAGGGGTATGGATGTCAATGAGGCTATCTTGGAAAGTTTCAGCAGAAAATGGTTTAAAAAGAGGTGAAAGAAGAGAAGCACCTTAGAAAATGTAAGGTGACAGAAAAAATAAGAGGAAAAATTTAGGATCTTACAAGTAAAAAACAATAATAATCAAAATAATCTTATGACATGCATCCTGTTTTTTATATGGATGCCCTCCCAGCAAAAACAAAACAAAAAACCACACACACATTTGCTATTCTGACATGGAGGGCACTCTTGTACTAGGAATCCTGCAAAGTACTTCAAACTCAAACCACCAACCCTAACAACAAAAAAAAAGACTCAATATATAAGAACTGAAAACAGGAAATAAAATGAAAACAATTCGACTTATGAAATTTAACCACAAAATAATCAATGAGGAAGCAAAAGAAAACAGTAAACACAACACTCCAAAATGAATTAAGCACCCTCAAGGAAGCATTTGGAGACTGGAAAAATGAACATGAATCAGAA